TGAGGCAATGTAATATTTAATTCATTATTGATATTTTTCAAATGTGACACCTACAATTATTTAATTGACATTTAATAATTAGTATAATAAATATACAAGAATTTAAAAAAATATACATATTTTGATTTATTTCCATTATGAAATTATTGTAATTTACGTTTCCATTGCATAGTGTGGTAAATAAACTATAAAATCGTAGGCTACAAATAAAAATCTCAAGATCACAGAAATGATTTATTTCTTAGCAGCTCAATCCAAAGTGTTTAATTATTACGAAAACTTTAATTTTCAATACATAATGGCCGAAAAACTTTAGGATTATTGATTATTTGGTTAACATAAATAAACCCATAATGTGTTACATTTCTCAATGTGACCGATATTTTTTTTTTACAAATATTATTGATGACATGTTATAAATATATATATAATCAAAAATCGAGTAGAATCATGTGTGTATAAAACTATATATTGTAAAACATTTTATGCAAAATATTTTATTTTAAATTTATATATAATAATAGTAATTAATTATATTAATAAATAATATTAACATATATTACAAATTTATCATTTAAAAAAAACTAGGTTTATATTATAAATATAATAATGACATTATATGACAACAAATTCTAGAATAAAATAGTAGTTGAGTATTATATGGTGAACAAAAATAAATAGAACTATTATTTTTTTCTATATCAAAATATAAATACAAAGCATTAAAATTCCATTTATTAAAATACAAACAGGTTAGTGGGCTAATATATTAATTAACTAACATGCTAGCCCTAACGAGTTCAGGTTTAACGGTCCGACAAAAAAATACTACTTAGAACATGTGAAAAATAATGATCCAACCCTATTGTTTTTAGGGCTAAAAGGAAATGTCTATCGGACTTGGCACATTTAACATCTCTACCTCGTGTATAACAAAAATGTATTTAGTATAAAATAATTTAAAAATAGTAATTGATATGTTCATCCCTCTTAGGTTTAAAAATTAATGCTAAAAATATAGAAGACTATAAGTAACAATTATTTCGAGAATCAAGTGCATAAACGATATTAAAATGATAAACCAAGTGATCATCTGTAGACTGTCATATAAAATATTAGATTATAAGAATACAAAGTATTTATTATACATATTAATATAAATTATGATAATACAATGAGTTATCAGTCGAACTGCAATGTAAATTATAACTCGATAAAGAAAATCAAAATATTTATAATATATATTGTTACAAATCTATATATATATATATATATAAAGGTTTGGGTTTACTTAAAATGGTGTAATTTGGTATAGTTTTTGTTGCTCAATAAGGAATTTTTATTGAGCATCCTTTATTACTTTCTTTTTCTATTTCCTATAGATAGTTTTTTCTTTATCATATGTGGTGACACTTTTATTTTTATTTTAGATAATGGTATCAACAATTGATCTAAATCTACTTGTTAAAATATAAAAATTTATAAAAAAAAAAGTCAATCAATTATTTGATTTCTTCCTAATCTATTTTTATTTTTAGTGATGTGGTATCAAACTATCAATAACTTGAGATTGAACTTCCAAAAATTACAATCAATTATTCAATTTCTACCTAATTTAGAATTTTATTTATTTGAAAAATATAAATTAATGGATATAGTTATAAAGTAATCACTCCAACGTTGTCAAGTAGCGACCATGGCGGAATGGCGTGGCGGAAACTAGCCTGGCCGCTATTTAGTTCCGCCTTCTGGCAGGTTTCCAATGGCGGCGCCGTGGGGCCCGTTATGAGCATGGCAGCCATGGCCCTGTGGCGCCTAAGCTATGGGGGATGGTAAAAGAAGGAGAAGAGCAAGTTTTTTGCCTCCAACATTTACTTTTATACAACAAATGTGATTCATTAGTGATAACAATCAATTAACTAACAATAATAATAAATTATTTATGCAGTTCAATAATGAATAAGGACTGCTAACTAGATGTAGTTGAGCTATTTTTTTAGACTAATTACTTTTAGTTTGAGCCTCAACAATTTGTGTTTGATTCTCTTTTTCTATCATTGCTTTTGGTTTAAAGTGTGTTAAATGGTTATCATGTGTTTGATTTTTTCAATGTGTGTTGTTATATTAAACTTATTGAATGATGATTACATTTTATTTGTGAAACTAGTGTCATTCTTAAAAAACAATACATATTTTAAGGTGTTATATTCGAGTATAGATATATATATATATATATATATATATGATTTTTATATTATTCTGTCTGCCATAACTTCCACCATTTTTCGCCATGCCATTGACATGCGTCATTTTTACGTGCATTTTATAGTGATTTTTGTGTCCGTTTCGTCGTAGTTTGATACATAATTTATTATATTTAATTAATTATTATTTAATTAATTAATTATTTAATTATATTTATTAAGCTACGATGAGGTGTTTTATTTGAGTTTTGACAGGAAATAGGGTCGGAATAATTATTGGAGTCAAAAATGGCGAAAATCTGTCGAAGATAATGTGCGAGCAATGCATTGATACGGATCCAATTGCAAGACATTACTGGAGAAAAGGAAATCAGCCCAAATTGTGTTATGCCCATTTGAAAAAGTGATGTTTTAGACCAGCCCAAGAAAACAAATGAAAGGCCCAAAGCTATTTAAAATAAGGGTATTATCGTCATTTCGCGGAAAGTGATTCTTGTTCATCTTCTTCACGCTGCACGCCATGTCCGCCATGAACGATCTCCTGAAGCTCGCACGTCCTCGAACTGGAGCCTCGCCGCCAGACCAACTCACCATCTGAAGTCCTAACACATCGCCGTCCACACGCCGACCTCTGCCATCATTTCACCGGAGAAGAAGCTGCTGACGTCGGGCTGAGGAGAGCTCGCCGGAAAATGCCATGGCCGGACACCTGGACGTGGTATGACCACCTGTACGACACTTATGACCACCGGGAGACGCCTTAGATACTGTAGATCCGACCAAGAGCTTCATATCGTCGAATAAAGCGTTGTTTCGAGCTCCCACTCACTCGAGTCGTGTGGCGTAAGACACGACTCGTGTCGTTCCGACGGGTCGCCTAACCTGCTCTCGACTTTTCACACGACTCGTGAGTCTTATGACACGAGTCGTGTCTCGTGTGACCCTGGGCGCAGCCAATACGCGTTTTACGCGTTTTCTCATATTTTTAGGGATTTTCGACCTATTTCGACTAGGACTCGACCCAACTATTTAAGGGACATTAGGGCACGATTTTGGGGGGTCTAGAACCTAATTTTCATATCTTTGGAAAGCTTTGGAGGCTAGAAACACGAGCAAGACGAGGGAGAAAGCCCGGAAAGAAGGGACCGACAGAACCGAATAAGCTTTTTCTTTCTTTTTCTTTTCTTCTTTCGAACTCAATGTTTTATATTTATTTTGAAAGCATGTTTCTAGGCTAGATTTATTTAGATTCTAGGATTTGTTAGTAC